AAAAAAATATTTTAACCTAGGCTAAATAATGGAATAAATAATCTTGTTGCTTCAATTTAACGTAGGGAGGAAGAAAAAAAAATGGCTAGTGCTTTGTGTATGGCTACGGCTCGACATTGATGGCGAGAGCTCTAGATGACTTTTCTCTGTGTCTGAGACACGTGCAGTTAGTTGTACCTATAGCCTCACTTACACTGCTCCTGACAGACTTCTGGTCATGACCACCTTCCCCTTTGGGCCTAAAAATCTATTGCTCCCTCGATTGGAAAATTCTCAACAAAGATGTCAATAGGAAATAAAGCTGTCAAGTTCTCCTCAGGCTGAGGGGGGATAGTAGGGACTGCATTTACTCTTTTGCCTGAACAATTGTTAGATGCTGTTGCATTGACTCCAACTCATAGGGGCCCATGAGCAGCAGATCTGAAGCTTGCCCCAGCCTGTGCTTTCTCATGATCTCCAGTACGTTCGAGCCATCACGACAGTTACTAGGTCAATATTGTTGAGGCTTCTCTTCTCTGACCCGCCACTGTTTCCAGCATTTCCAAAGACTGAAGCCTCCTGAAAACACACCCATGGTACGCGAGACAAATTTCCCCATCGTCACCTCTTCCCACTCGCCTCTCAGCTTGTCGCACTGTGGTGGTGTGCGTGTTGCTGGAAGTGATGCCGCCATTATTTCAAATCCCAGCACAGTCACCCATGGTGGACAGGTTTCAGGGGAACTTCCAGGCTACGACAGACTACAGACTGCAGACTGGCTGCCCGCTTCTGAAATAACAGACCTTCGAGATCCGGTGGAAAATGGAAGGACGTGAAACATTAGACATCATCAAAATGGAAAACATTTGCTTTGGGAGATACCATCAAAAGTATGAGAAGACAAGGTGATGGGTTAGGATGAAAAGTTTGCCGATACTATATTCAACGAGGCTTTGTATGCAGATTATCTAGAACAGACTCAAATGCAGCACACAGGAGCAAAAACTTTGTAAATTATTACCTAACTGGGGAGGGACTGGAGAGCTTTATGCTGAGTGAACTAACTCAGTCCCACAAGGATAAATATTGTATAAAACCATTATTGTAGAAGGAGTATAAGGATCCAGGAGGGGTGGGAGAGGCTGGAAGCAGAGGGATGTGGATGTACGGGGGCATGGGGGATTAATCATTGGATTGTACAATTTGATGGGTCAGGGGGGAGGTGAATGGAAAGAATTTGTTCGAATTTTGTAAATAAACTAGTGAAAAAAAAGTCAGTTTGGGGAGGGGGAAGGGAAGAAGAGGGGGTAAAATGTGCAACAATGAATAAATGAAAATCTAACTTTTCTGTAAACTTGTTAAAATGACAATTGAAATTAAAAAATTTATTTAAAAAATTCGGTCCTAAAGAACTGATTAAAAGATAGGGGTCAGATTAGAGCAGATACTTCCCCAGAGAAGGTGTACACAGGTGACAGATGAGTGCATGAAACGTGCGCGCCATCATGAACCAGAACAGAATGTAGCCCATTGTCATCAAGTTCGTTCTGACTCAGAGAGATCCAACAGGAGAGGTCTAGCCACCCCATAATTTATCTGAAACGGCAAATCCTTAATGCCATGCCTTTCTCTCAGGGAGCAGCTGGTGAATTTGAACCACTTACCTTTGAGTTCATAGTTGAGCCCTTAATCACTCCAGGCTTCTTCAAAGTCATTAAATACTTAAAAATGCAAATTAAAACTAAAATGAGATACCACTGCTTGCTTATCTGAATTTCTAAAATGTAAAACTGAAAAGCAGGAAAAAGCTCACTATGGCCAATGTTGCTGAGGTCTGGAAGCATGGAACTTTCATACTTTGCTGGCGAGGAGTACAAATTGATGTAGACACTTTGGAAAACAAAGTTTGGCAATTTTTTAAAAATATTATGTGGACACCTACTATTTGACCCAGCCGCTCCACTTTTCCTTTGTTGTCAAAGACAAACTAAATTTTGTATCTACTCAAGACATGTATATACATATTCTTGACAGTGTTGTTTATGATAACACAAACTCAAATGTTTGAAACAATATTTATATCAACCAGTTGATGGGATATTAGTACCCTGAACATAGTTTAATCCTAAGAAGCAGTGAACTATGGATATAGCCACATGAATGAATTACACAATAATCATGGTAGGTAGAAGTAGCTAGACAAAAAAGTGCATTATGATTCCATTTATAGGTAATCTCTGGATTATAAGCTGCATTGCTAAATATTAGTTAAAGCTGAATTTGCATATAAATTGAACAGATATGGTTTGTATTTGACATGAATGTGTCAGGTGTTTTTGTGTATAGTATACCTTTCTGTATATAAAACATGAAAGAAACACTTCCAGATTCACTGAAATATCTTTAACTTAATAATATATTGTTGTTATGTGCTATTGAGTAAGAACTGACTCATAGCTGACCAGCTGGTGGGTTTTCAGAGATGGTAAATTTCATGGACAGAGAGACTGCCTATAGTTCTCCCATGGAGCAGCTGGTGGATTTGAACTGTTTGCTTTTGGGTTCTCATTACAACTTCTCAGCCACCAGAGCTTCTCCTCCTCCTCATAACAATAATAGTAATTGTTTGATGTGCATTGTAAACGAATGATTTTGAAGCATTGTACATACTTTGAATTTTAATTGAATAGGTTTTAGGGTGATTGTTTCATCACCTTGGTTTGTATATAAGTTAGATATTTACAATCTGAGATCTGCTTGTATATAAAATGCAAACTAACTAGCAGTGGTAAATTTTGGGGTGAAGGCTACTTGGGAGTCGGGTAGAGGTAAAGAGGGGCTGGAGGAAGGAATTAACAGGAGACTGGAGGAGTGCATGAGGTCCTCCTCAGTTT